TGTCGTAATTTTACATTTCACGAGTAGAAAAATAATGATCATTTTGAAAAGTATTTTTTTTATTATTTCTAATCAATATTATCTTTTGATTTTTTATACACATATATATTTGATGTTCTAGTTACTATAAAAATGACAATGGTAACTACTGAAATTAAACATAAGGAATAAATAAACTCCTAAGACACCTGTCTGGGCCAAAAAATGTGCATTAAAATATTTGGCAGTTAATGGGTAATTTTGCAGCATTTCTAAATAGCGATCGCCATTAACAATATTAATTTGATTGCTTAAATACAAGTCATCCATAAAGTCCTAGTGCAATTTACAATTGGGATTGTTAATTTTCAACATGGCCGCCATCATTACGGATACAAAGGGTAATGCGATAGTGTAATTCTTGGTAAATGTCTTGTAGCTGATTTTCAGTAGCACCTCCAATCACTTCAATAATTCTAGTTTACAATTTCTTTAACGATTGAGGTTTAGTTGAATAAATATTACTTATCGCATGGCACCATAAAACGAAATCTAATAGAATCAAACAGCAATTCTGAAAAAAAAGAAGACATTTTAAAGTTTCAAATAATTGAAAAAAAAAATAGGTAAAACAAATAATAAATAAATTTTTCGAAGACGAAAAAAAAACCCCTCGGCATATCAATCTTTCTTATCCTTTTTTACAGATTGTTTTTATTTGAGTATAGGGAGTATTGAGAAAAGATGAATGAGATTCAAGAGTATAGAAGATGGCAATTGACGTTGCATTTAAAATTTTGATGATTTTTGAAAAACAAATATTACCAGCAATACATTTTTGGATTAAGAAAAAAAATTACCAGCTATACATTTTTTGAAAAAAAAACAAAAACAAAAAAAAACAAACAAATGTTACCAGCGATACATATTTAAAAGAAAATTATTACACGAAATAGTTTTTTTTTTTTTTTTTTTTTAAATACCAGAAATAGATTTTTTGAAGAAAAATAATCAGAAATAATGGGTTATTTAATATCGACAAAATTTTTTATTGTTTTGGTAATTTTTTTTGAAGGAAAAATATTACCAACATTAAAAATTTTGTCGGGATTAAATAACCCATTGAGGTTGATATGCCGTAAAACAAAACAAACACATTATAAGACAAAATGATTTAAATCTGCATTGCTTAATGGAAATCACACGAAAACTACTGCACTGCATAATATATCATAATATAGCTAAATTGTTCAGTATAATATCCGTTTGAAGCAAATGAATGCCTTATTTGATGACACAATAATTTAGTAATAATGTGCTTGTGCCATGCATCTTGTACATATATAATTTGTAGAGATTCTGTAAAACTTTAGCTTTCTCATTTTATCATTTGTTAGATCATAATTAATAATAAAAAAAAGAATAATTAGATAAAACTCTGTATGACATCATAATACTGTTAGGCATAAATTATATGACAAAATGTTTTAAATTTGCATTGTTTATTGAAAATCCCACTAAAACTACTGCACTGTATAACATATTACATTATACAGCTCAATTGTTCAGTATAATTTCCCTTTGAAGCAAAGGAATGCTTTATTTGATGACACAATCGTTTGTGTTTGTGTCATGCGTCTTGTTCATATATAATTTATAAAGCTTCGGTGAATGTTTAGTTTTCCTGTTTTACATAAATATTTTAATATTAATAATTTGGAAAAGTTTTCCTTTATTAGACAAAAATCATGAAAAACTACAATTCATTCCTTAACACTACCATTGTTTGTATTAAAAAAAATAATTGAATGGTACCAGGTTTAAGCCTTTTAAAATCAACATTCAAGTAATTGGTTTATACAGCAAAAAATATTATTGTTCAGTTGATATTTCTAAATGACATTGACTTAGAAAAATAGTATTATTGAATGTATTATTATGAATATAGCAATGAGACACTGTCTGCTTTATCACATATCAATGCATTTTGGGGAAAATTATGTCCCTCAGGACATGCTGAAAACATCTGTGGGGAGGACATATGTACCAGGAGACTCGAAAAGGTTAAATCACAAATACTAGAATATAAACATTTTTTCTCTAATGCTATTACAGAGTTTGTTTTTTATTCGTAAATATCTTTGCTTATATAAAGAGTAGAGAAATCAATTGTTTATCACAACGTTCTTTGGGACGTTCAATCAGTATATATATATATATATATATATATATATATATATATATTCATACAAAAAGTAGATTAGTAAAGTTAATGATATAAAATGGCGAAAACGCTTTGCAAACAAAATTTTAAAGATGCATTAACCTACCACTTGATGAATGTTATGATCCTTGTTTTTAATAACTACAAGTTGTATAAGGTCTTTTTTTTCATCTTCAAGTACTTTCAACTGTACATTCAGTCATCCTCAGGCATGGGAATTATTTTGTTTTTAGTAAATCCAGGTTGCATTGGAGACGAAAGATTAAATGCTAATCGAAATACGTTTTTTAGAAATGTGTTATCGTTAACGGATAAAATCTTTTGGAGCGTGCGTTCGCAACGCTAAAGTTGAATTTTTTTGAAAATTTAAGAGAGTGCGTTTTTTGCTAATATGGTAATTTGAGAATTTTTTTGTTGTAGGAGTTTATCAATCAATGTGGCATGAATTAAATTAAAACTAAATGATAAAACAAGGATCATAACATTCATCGAGTGATTTGTAGGTTAATGCAACTTTAAAATTTTGTTTGCGAAGAGTTTTTGCCATTTTATATCATTAACTTTACTAATCTACTTTTTGTATGAATGATTCATTGTAATATAAATTGACCTGCAACACATTTGAGATATATATATATATATATATATATATATGTGTGTGTGTGTGTGTTTTAAGGGTCTAATATGGTAGTTTATGCACTATTTACATTATTCGGACTATTTCGGTCGTTTTACGCTCGGGCGCCCTCTTCAGGTGGTTGGAATGTCGAACTGAACCCTTTATTTCGCTCGCTGTGGTAGACTGTTCTAGTTCCACGTGCCATGCCTAATGGATATCGGTTATCAGTTATCTCCTGTTATTCTCCAAGTTCTTCACTGCCTTAACCAGGTACTGAACTCAAAACTCTTTGGGTCCTATCTCTGGATCTAACTAACGCCATTATCCACTGTACTATGTTTCCTATTTACATTGTTCGGAGTTTCATCCTCATATTTGTTCCCATATTTATCACAACGTTTCGGCCATTGTACGCTCCAGCCTTCTTCAAGGGGTTGGAATGTCGAACTGAACCCTTTATTGCGCTCGCTGGGGTTGACTGTTCTAGTTCCACGTGCCATGCCTAATGGATGTCGGTTATCAGATATCTTCTGTTAATTCACCTCTCCAATTTCTTCACTGCCTTAACCAGGTATTGAACTCCCAACTCTTTGGGCCCTGTCTCTGGATCTAACCAACACCTTTATCCTCTGTGCCATGTATTCTTAAGGAATAATGTAAATAGTGTACATAATACCTCATCTCAGAAATATAGACACATGGTAGTTTGTGGTTTACACTGGGAACATTTAATTGCTTTTTCTATAAAATGTATAGATATGTATTGTTTAAAATTTGCTATAATTATGGGGGCAAAAGTGCTCACTATCAGGAGCAGAATATTTGTAGAGACAGACAGTGTAGACAAAGGAGTCAACACTGCATGGTGACTGTCAGTTTCACATACCAAGTGATCTTCAGAACATTTATCAATATGGTTTGGTTTTTTGTTTTTAATAAAATCCCATAACCTAAATCTAATAGTCTATTTAAATACCAATGCTTAGAATCAAAGATAGCTATCAATTGATTATTTAAGGCTAATTTGTTTAAATAATGCACTGACTATTATTTACATCACGTGACAATAATTGTAAGTAAAATGAAGCACTAAAATAAGTAAGAAAGTAATCGTTTTAATGTTTCTGAATATTGGTGCCGCTTGCAAAGATCTTTGCTTATATAAAGAGTAGAGAAATGTAACTGCTTTTTCCACATCTTGCTAATGTGCAGGTAAATTCGACAACACCAGTGCTGTTTCATTCATTAGAACCTCTTGCAGTTTATTATTAGAAAAATCCTTCTGCAAGCGCATGTTCACAAACTCTATTTTCTGAGTGGTTAATCAAATTTGACCCGTGAGTCAATTTTTTCGGCGCAAAAAATCCTTTCGTCTCTGTTTTAGATACTGATGAAAGGTTCCCTAATGCAACACTTCGCTAGAGCTCCCCATTTACTTGGCCTTGCGTCAGACTAAATACTGTCCAAAACTTCAAGCGCCTCGTGTGATGAGATTTTGTAAAGAAGACCTCATATTGCATAACACTCTGCTACCTGGATAACTGCTCCAATGGCTGTTCTTGTCACAGAAAGGCCAACGGAACAAAAAAGAAATTGCCTGTACATGCAACATCTGTGGTTGTGTCTGTCTCTCATACATTAGAATTTTGCAGCTACGCGAGATGATCTTCTTAAACTGCGATTGCACCCCCCGACGATAATGAGTGAGCAAAAAATATCACATATGTTACTTTTGTTGCGGATGCCTCACTAGAACTGGCCTTGTGTCAGACTAAGCCGGTCTTAATAAAATACATTTTCCAACACTTGTCGCTTGTGGAACTCTCTTCCAGCTTCTAGCTTCCCAGTCAACGTGGAACTTCAAAAATTTAAATGCCATGTCAATCGTTATCTACTGTCGTCTTAATTCTGGTTCTTTTATAGTTCTCGCTCTCTTAATATTATTTTTCTTTTTTCTCATAATCTGTAACACTCAGTAACCCCCTTGCGTCTTATTCGCTTCATTACCTTGCTTGGGGTGAAATGATTAAAAAAAAAAACTGTAGAGTTATGTCTTTTGGAGTATTGTGAATTCTGTCCCCATTGCGTGCTTCATTATACTATCCTTGTGTCAAACTAGCTCATAATAGCTTGCCTGATTGTGTTTTTTTATATATATTTATTTTGTTTTTCGTTCAGGTTGTCCTCGGTCTCAGAAACGAAGATTTCTTGTTGATTTGATGACTGAACTCAAAGCAGAATTAAGAGCCGATAGAAATGCAACAGAAACCATGTAAGTAAGAAACATTCTCTCATAATAACTAAAATAACACCCGACTTCCTGCGGGCCCAATCTCCTCATTTCGTTCCGCATCGCTATACGATCTTTCTTTTTTTTTTTTTTTAGAAATTTAACGTATGCCATAAAACAAGATCAGTAAATTAGTTCGGCAGATTCAAACATTTTTGACGTCGTTTATATCATATGCACCATGTTTTTATAATTTCCAAGATTTGCTAGACAACATTCAGCTTTTTTAACAAGAAAGATCTCAAGTTGGAGATAAAAATTGCCACAAAACATTGTCGATTTATTTAAGATGGACTTATCTATCATGATATGTCTCTGATTTGGATTTAGATATATTGTACTTATTTTCATTTCTTCAGATTGAATTGTTCAGTTATATTGCACATGGTCTATTATTGTACATAATTAGGTTACAATAAAATTTGTCTTTTATATGAATACTACCTTAAGAAAATTGAGATGTAGTAGAGTGCAGACCCCGTATCATAGATTCAGTGGGGGCACAAAACCCTTCCATTTGCCCTGGTTGGGAAGATCATGGATATATTCGAAAAACGCCTCTTAGACTTTATCATAGAGTAGCAGAATTTGAGCTGAGTGATCGGTTATGTTTCGTGAATTAACATAACAACATATGTTCAGAAATCTTCACTTATTTAAAATTAGGGTGGATTTCGTGGAGGCTTCTGATAGGAGACCAAGGCATTAACGTCCTGGGTATGGCGATAAACTGCGTCCGCGTCCTGGGTAAGACGATAAACTGCGTCCGCGTCCTGGGTAAGACGATAAACTACGTCCGACAACAAGACATCTGATTAGGAGGTTTTGAGTGGCGTGGAACTATCTCTAAATTGTTGGTGTCTCCAGGTCCACCCTCACCCGATCTGGTAGCACCTGTTAGGGTCCCAGCTATCGGTAAATAGTTAACCAAACTGGGGTCAAAACACTATGAAAGTGTAAAAATATGTTTTAATAAATTATCAGCAATAAATTTTTTAAGAAAAATTATTAACAACAATACTTTTTTGAAACAACAATTTACCAGCTATACATTTTTACAAAACAAAAATAAATACCAGCAGTACATCTAAAAAAATTCCAGTATTACATTTTTGAAAAAAAAAATTACCATCAATAAAAATCTTGTCGGCATTAAATAACCCGTTGAGATTGATATGCCGTAAACCAAACCAAAACATTAATAGAACCCTTTTTATTTTGTGTTGATTGCAGAACAAGTCGTTGATGGGACGGCTTTTATGAACTGCAGTTTAAAAACGATTTATTTTCATATTAATCTTGTTTTTGTAGTGATAGTGTGCCGACTGAAGATCTGTCAGGTGAACTTGAACCCAGCATCGTCGTTAAATGGAAAATGAATTCCTTGGATGTCAATAAAAATGGCGTAAGTAATGTTTCGTCCAACTGGAGAAAATGTCGAGAATTTTCCAGGTCTATACATATTGGAGATTATGATGCACTCTGGAAATGTATTCCTTTCTTCTAAGCTTTCATTTTTTGTCGTCAGGAGAAGGAGCCAGTGACAAAAGTCTGCTTCACAAATCACCTCGGTATTTTAGACGTCTTATCAACGGTATATATATATATAGTGCGGCAGAAATACCTCCGTCATATGGTAAGACATTAGTGGCAGTGTTGTCTTCCTCTAGCTAATGTACTATAATGTGGTGGGTACTTCTGCCGCATCTTATATAGCATATCTTCATTCATGCATATTTGGTTGAATAATCTGTACATATTATGTCTATTTTTGTTGTGATCCTCTCGAATTCTCGGATCAGTTTCTTAATGTTGATATTAAGGGAGGCGCCGTAGTTTTTTCTTATTTTCATTTTTCTGTTCAGAGGTGAATTGCTAATATATATATATATATATATATATATATATATATATATATATAATGAAGGCAGAGAGAATTAAAACATAAGTTAGCACTTTTCGGGAAATCTGTCTTTAATTTTACGTCAAAATAGGAAAAACGTTATTTTTTTTTTTAATGTTCTTCTCTATCCCCTTCTCCCTGTTTTGGCATTATTTTAAACTCAGTTGTTGGAATTGTTTCCTTTTCATCTACGCATTCGTCAAGCCGGGTGGCCTGACGATTGTGTCTAGCATGAAACAGCCTGTCGCCTCTAAGTCTTGACTTCAATGTTCACTTTTATATTTACACACGCTCTATCTCTGATATTAAACACTTTATCCCATAAATATAGCACAACTGAAGACTATATATATTCAATTTCTGGAATTTGGATTCACAAGCCGTCCCCAGCCGCAAGTTTACACACTTTTTTTTTTTTGATAGTGCGGTCTTATAACCCCTTGCGTTTTGAATTTAGAGTTTCCTGCTCATAGACTAGGCTATAGAACACAGTCTGACCAGATCTTTTACCAATAGCTGTGGGAGAAGAGATGAACTCATATCTTTCCAAAGTGCATTAGCAATGTTATACGAACTCTGCTAGATGATTCCTAAATGTATACCAATATCCTAATAATCATCAGTTATTACATTCCTTTCTTACCTAACACTTTCTACTTCGTCTTCTCACGTAACACTTTCTACTTCGTCTTCTCACGCAACACTTTCTACTTCGCCTTCTCACGTAACACTTTCTACTTCGTCTTCTCACGTAACACTTTCTACTTCGTCTTCTCACGTAACACTTTCTACTTCGTCTTCTCACGTAACACTTTCTACTTCGTCTTCTCACGTAACACTTTCTACTTCGCCTTCTCACGTAACACTTTCTACTTCGTCTTCTCACGTAACACTTTCTACTTCGTCTTCTCACGTAACACTTTCTACTTCGTCTTCTCACGTAACACTTTCTACTTCGTCTTCTCACGTAACACTTTCTACTTTCCTTTGCTTACGTAACACTTTCTACTTTCCTTTGCTTACGTAACACTTTCTACTTTCCTTTGCTTACGTAACACTTTCTACTTTCCTTTGCTTACGTAACACTTTCTACTTTTTTGCTTACGTAACACTTTCTACTTTCCTTTGCTTACGTAACACTTTCTACTTTCCTTTGCTTACGTAACACTTTCTACTTTCCTTTGCTTACGTAACACTTTCTACTTTCCTTTGCTTACGTAACACTTTACGTAACACTTTCCTTTTTGCTTACGTAACACTTTCTACTTTCCTTTTTGCTTACGTTTCACTTTGCTTACGTAACACTTTCTTTCCTTTGCTTACGTAACACTTTCTACTTTCCTTTGCTTACGTAACACTTTCTACTTTCCTTTGCTTACGTAACACTTTCTACTTTCCTTTGCTTACGTAACACTTTCTACTTTCCTTTGCTTACGTAACACTTTCTACTTTCCTTTGCTTACGTAACACTTTCTACTTTCCTTTGCTTACGTAACACTTTCTACTTTCCTTTGCTTACGTAACACTTTCTACTTTCCTTTGCTTACGTAACACTTTCTACTTTCCTTTGCTTACGTAACACTTTCTCCGTCAAACGAACCCGTCGATTAGCAGAGGACTTATTCATTCGGACGTGCAAGGAATTTCAGTGGGAACTTGGATTTACAAGCTATCACCAGCCACATGTATACACACTTTTAAGATAACGCGATCCTGTTTGAATTCAGTTTCCTTCTCTTCGACTGGTTACCACCCAAGGCTATATGACCCAGTCTGTCCTGCTATTTTACCCATAGGTGGTGGAGAGAAGGGATGGATTCTTCAATTGGGGATGGAGAGAGATGGATTCATACCTTTTTTTTAACTGTATTAGCACGGAATTGAACGTAATGAACTCGACTAAAATTCGGCTCTCAGAATTTTCAGTCCGAGCCTCTAACCATTATTCCTCTGTGCCTTTTTGAAACGGTAAGAATAATCCTGAAAATAATGGACACATCGAGTCAGAAAAAATAGACCATAGCTAAAGATGTTGACTGTCATTCGCAATTCATACATTAATAACCAGATATTAAAATTTTATATGGGAAAATACTGACATGTTAATTAGAAGACATTGTTAATGTAAGAGTAGTATTAGACTGGCCTCGGGGTCGCATCAATTTACAGTTGAGCTGGCGAGATGTAGCCATAAATTCTATGCTAACAGTTTTTCTCGCACTGTTCGTTTGTGGATCTACCTTCCGGCCCTATGCTTTTCAGCCAACTTTAATCTGCCAAAAATTTAAATGCAATGTCAATCGCTATCTATTTTCCTCCTGATTACTCTTTCCTCTTCCCGCTCATTATTAATGTTTCTGTTCCTAATTCAACTCACCCAATAAACTCTTGTGTCTTAGTGGCTTTACTGCCTTGCAGAGGGTGGTACAGATTTTTAAAAAAATCATGTTCTAATATATTATTATAATAGTCGCGCAAAAATATATTACTCAACCCTAATTATTAAAGTGTCCTCGTTGTTAATTATGTAACAGCAATATTATTGGTGCTGATCTGGCAGCTAGGCTTTAGTCATTTTCCCAACGCCGTAATGTTGCCTCTCTGTGTCTTTTCTATAAATAATTTCATGGTAATTGTTCAGATGAGGTCTTCGCTATGATACTTTAAGTTTTTTAATGTACACACAATACTAGACTGGCATTGATATCTCCTCAATTTACATTTGAGCTGGCGAGATGTAACTGCAAACTAACAGTTTCTTTTTTATGCACTTCTCGCTTGTGGAACATCCTTCCGGCTCCATGATTTCCAGCCAACTTTAATCTGCCAAAAATTTAAATGCAATATCAATCGCTATCTACTATCTTCCTGATTACTCCTTTCTTTTTCCGCTCATTACTAATGTTTCTGTTCCTAATTCCTCCACATCTTATAACCCTTGCATTTTAGTGGCTTTATTGCCTTACTTGGTGTGATACCTATTAAAGAAAATAATAATATTAATGCAAAACAATTTTCAAGAACGAAGAAAGTGTTATAAAGTAAATATTTCATTGTTGACTGTCAAAACAAGCTTTTTATTCAATGTTTTTTTTTAGAAATATCCTACCACGACTAGTTAGCCATTACCACACGATCGTAACAATAAAACCATTATTCCATTATATAATAAAAATACACAATATTACTTTTTTATTTTTCTAAAGCCGTTTAAATTAATCACATTAATGTTATCGTCTTCTTTCTGACTGGGTCATAAAACCGCCATCACACTCTTTCTCTTTCGCTTTGCCTTGTGCTTTTCCACGGTTCGCACTCCCCCCCAACCCCCCAACCCCCGGCCACCGCAATAAAAAGGTCCATCAATGCCTTCCGCCGGCTTCTTTTTGGTCGGCCTTTCACTTATCGTTCCTGACCGATCTCTAGTCAACTTAAAGCAATCTTTTGTTGGACATTCTCAAGACAATTTTTTTTAATCACCATAACCTTCGTTTTTAAAAGCTCTCCACAACTTACACGTTCGCAGATACAGTTAGACCCATAAATATTGCATTAAAATAATTACCGTGCAATCGTTACCGGAACAGAAAGTTGGAATTAGTGATCCAAATTCCAACAAGTCCTGGTTACGACGATAAACTACATCCAGCAACAAGGCCTCTGATCGGGAAATTGGAGGTTTTGGAGAGTGTGGAACAACCTCTTAATTGCTGTTGTTCCGAGGTCCACTCTAATCCGATGTGGTAGGGTCCCAGCTATGAACAAATAGTAAACCCCCTACAAAAATACCAGAAATACAATTTCATATAAAAAATGACCAACAATATATATCTATGGCAAATAACCAGCAATACGTTTTATCTGTAGCTGAAGACATACAATTGCATTCAAAATATATTTAGTTTGAGCCATAAAATTGAGTTCAGATTATTTACATTTCGGCATTAAATAACCCATAGAGGTGTTGATATGCCGCTAAACAAAGAACTCTTTCATGGCATTAAGCCATATAATATCCGACAATTTCTTAAAGAAATCAAACTGTATTCCAAAATATAACTTTAGTAAAACTATAACATAAAACACACATATCACCACCTATAGTAATTATGTCCACACAAATATGTATATGCACAAAAGCTGAGTATCATCTACCATGTATTCAGTTGTGAAAGCAGAACAACATATCACATTTTTATTACTTCAATGCTCCCAAGAAAATTAAATTTCAGCATTAAATGACGCATGAGGAGTTGATAGGCTGTTAAACAAACAAATCCAGTCACCCCCCCCCACCCGTCAAGAAAATTCAATTTCGTTATTAAATGACCCATTAGTACTTGATGTGCCGTTTAACAAACAAATCAAATCATCCCCAAGAAAATTAAATTTTGTCATTAAATGACCCATTAGTACTTGATATGCCGTTAAACAAACTAATCAAATCAACCCCCCAAGAAAATTAAATTTTGTCATTAAATGACTCATTAGTACTTGATATG